TTTTTTTTTTTTTCTGTTTCCAAAGAAAACTTGCAAGTTTGCATCGCCGGAGGATTCCGTTATTCGATTTAACGAATTCATCACGACTCGCCATTCATTTAATCGAAGGATGTACAGTTCACTCGGTGTTTTCATTGACTCGAGCCAAGATCAGTGATTTGAAATTACTATCCGTTCAAGCCTGTCGGCTGTAAAAATGTTCGCTTATTAAATCACGTTACGCTCTGTTGTACGCTGACTTCTTCTTGAGGCAATTCAGGCCTGCTGGGCCGATCTGCCGATTTCTGTTACAGGCAGTATATATTTTTGTTACGTTCTTCTTCTGTTTGTTTGGTTTGAGAAAACCAGGCGCAAAAACGGACTTCCCTTCTTAAAAAGGCGACCACGATTATCGCGGGGCAAAAGTGCATCAGGAAGTATCCCACGATAGCTCCTGTCGAGACGTGTATATAACACGCGCATTTCTCAGGGACCTAGAAAACGCACACTCGCTTCTAGAAAAACACCTCGACGAACGTCTCTGTATAACCGTACGCGAAATATTTGACGGTTAAAAGGCAAGCAACGCTATTTGTCGTACAAGCATTTCATTTGGATAATATCGTGTCCCATCGATGAATTTATAAGTCAACGATTTGCAATATTAAAATAAATATAATCATATAAATATATCATATTAAAAAAAAAAAAAAAAAAAAAAAAAAAATACGAAATGAAGATAGTGGATAATAAAACGAAGATAGATGTGAAAAATGAGAAAAATGTTGTGAGAAATAATTGCTTTAAGAGAGACAGGGTAAAACGAAAAGTTTTTTAATTAGTAATCGAAGGTGCAACGAACGCATACCATGAATGTTAATTAAACAGAATCGAATTTAAAGAGCAATTAGACATTGCCCAGAAAAATCATAAAACAATGATTAACAATAGGATGGAATGGAACGTCCCTCCGTAGAATGTAATTAACTCGGAGAAGGTACATGTTCGGGCCAGAATACACCTATTATATATCCTTCTTTAACACAGTCTTTAATTATCGGCCGACGGCACTCACAACCCCTTATCTTCCTATACTTTTAGCAGCGTGAAAACGAATTTTTACCTCTCCTATTAATATTAATATTCCCACCGTTCGTGAGATATTCTTTCTCCCAATCTAGACGGGAAACACGAAAATCCGCTACCTCAGACACCGCAATCGGAACGCTCTTTTATGATTTTTCACCCCGATATCGCGTGCTCGTGCGTAGTGTAATTATCTCGGGCGTATACTCGCGGCGTATACGCGTTTCCTCTGAAACAACAATCACCTCAAGGTCCTCCAGATAAGCTGCACGAGCAAATAAAGAAAAGATCGTTGCTCGGTCGATCGAAGAGGGGTTTCATCATGCGTTCCTCGTATCGGCAATGTTTTTTTGTACGTACGAAAAGGACCTCGTCGAAGGTGTGAAAAATTATCGCGATGAATTTCCTTCGTCGAGGCTAGCAGGATTGAGTGAAACAATTCTTTTTTTTTTTTTTTTTCTTTTTCGTTTGTCAGTTTGAACGGCTCCGACGTCCACCGATTGGACTCGAAACTCGTTCAAACGGAGTTTTCTCGATTAACTTTAATAAAGATTTCGCGATAATCCGATTATTATCATCATGCTCATTTCGTTTATAATACTGATGTTTCACCCTCCGCTACTATTTTTCTATTTCTACTACTTTCTTTATATTTAATTTTTTTATTTTTTTTTTTTTTTTATTTTTCGGCACTTTTACTCACTCTATCTCCCGTTCCAAGAAATCGACACCGATCGTCTTCTTGTAGTCCCTTGTGTAAGTGCCCTTGCAAAACCTTTGGATCATTGACGATTTCCCCACAGCTCCATTGCCCACTATCACCACCTGTGAACAAAGATTTGCCACGTGCACTCGATGGCCTGATATCGATCGAAATTCGTATCAACAATTACAAGGCTTCGTATGGTGGACGTTGCATCGGTATTGGCCATTAGGGGCCAATTTTAAATTATCCAGAGATAGCGCGCGTATATGTAGGATCATCTGAAAGGTGGACTTTCTAAAACTGAAAGTCTTCTGTAGATCGTGCTCGAGACGAGCAAGAAAGAGCATAGAGCAGCTAATTTCTCGCGTAGCTTTCTTGCCAGCGAATCACGGGGCGATCGAATAAAAATGGTCATCTCGATAACGCGATTACCGAACCGTATCGATATGATCACGAGCGACTTTTCAATTCTTCTTCGTCAGAAGTAAATAACAAAATTTGTATCATAACTCGCTTTACAACATTTGTAAAAATTCTCACTAAATTTAACACTAAACGTACCGGCATTTTATATATACCTATCTTACCATAAGGGGCCATTTGACCCCTTATGAATAAACGTTG